TCGCAGCATCGGAATGTCAGAAGCGAAATGAGACAACCGATTTGTGAATGTGTTTAAATATGATAGAACGGCGAATTAATGTGATGAAGATGAAAACTAATGAATCGTTGAAATTGCAAGATACATTTAATAAAATGTAGGTAAAAAATCGGAAGCAATGTGAATAAGAAGCTCTGAATTAGAGAATATTCACATTAATATACTAAGAATTCTTAAGTGAAAGATTTTATATAACGCGAAGACATTAGATTGATCTAAAGTTGCAAAATAATAATTTTAATAAGCCTTATTTCTAGCAATATAAATATAAAGTTCCATGGAAATAAGAAATGATTCAGTATAAAATGAGTTATTTGGTAATGAATTGGATATGAATAAACTAAGTTCAAAAAGTCAACATAATCAGTGTAAAAACGAAACCAGAATAAATAAATTATTGCAAATTTATATCCAAAATCAATGTCAAGTTGGGATCAAATGTAGTAAAAAATGATTGACCGAGGCGTAACATAATAAACGAAACTAAAAGCAAAAATAAAACTTATGCAATAAATATTAAAGGAAGTGAGCTTTGGCCTCAAAGTGGGGATACAACTTTAATAGGAATAAATCACTACTATAATTGACATGGTGAATTATCGTTAAGCATGGTGTCCTGCCAAAGATAGCTGTTACATGACGGACGAAATCTCAGCGAGGATTCATCGGAGCCGCAAGGCAGTGCGCCGAGGACATCTTCACATAAATCTACAAACACAGCTCCAAGGCAATCCCCCTACAACTTGCGGTGAGATCAACTTGCGAATCCTTTCCGCTCGCTTCTTCAACGAAATAAAAGGTACTCAAACATCAATCTACTAAGGGATTCTTCAAAACCCAGCATTTCTACATATCTAATAAATGAATCAAACTCATAATGAGAAGCAGTACTTAAAAATGCAAATACTGGAGTGCCTAAACGTGTGGGCGACATCAATATAATGAAATGAATCAGGCGTATAAAATTTACTAGACACTCACGTATATATTCATCGAGGTCAATAAATCCGTCCTTATTGGTATCCAAATCAGCCATTGTTTCCTAAAATAGACAAAAGTCAAAATAATTAATGTGAATAACAGAGTCAATCAGAAGCAAACGGTATATGTATCTATATATATATATATATATATGCATAACCAATAGCCACACATGTATAGAGACAATTTGATAAGAGCATAAGCTAAATGTTAATTAGCGTACGTCAATAACTACGTGGCGCATCCTATGGGAATCCTCTGGATGAAGGAAATCTAGGTATTCATCTTTATCTAATAGTCCATCGCCATTTAGATCGGCTTCTTTCCACCTATTTCTATCCTTTTCTATGATCTCAATGAGAGATTCTTCATCATCTAAAATTAAAAAAATAAAAGGAATAAAAAAATGCAAGCTTGAAACTAAATAAATACACGCAGCTTTAAGTCAATTGATGATGTAATTACAAATAAAGAGTTTGCACACTAGTTTGCTAGGTTGAATAAATGTAAGCTATACAAGTGAGCAGTTAGAAAAAAATCATGATAGTGGAATAAGGAAACCTAAGAAATCAGCATGTTCCTGGATGCTCTCACAAATAAAGCTGATACTTTTTCATATCGCCTTTGCAACAAGGTGAGTAAAACATAGGGCAAATACACAATATCACAGAGAAAGTAAGCACTAGGATTTGGAAAAACCAAAGGCACGTAGAAGAGGCAAAGGTAGAATACTAAATAGAATAATGTACCTTCGTCATCGGGATTACTGATGACTGATTTATAATATGTATCCCAAGTTAATTTGTCATCTTCGTTGAGAGAAAGATCCTTCCAAGAACGGTCGCGATCCTCAATAAGGTAGCGCTTAGAAGTATGCTTAATCCAAGATCTTAGTTCGTCCTCTGTTACTTTTCCATCTTGATCGAGGTCCATTTTGTCTACTAGTATACTATTTTTCAAAGTTAGGATGAAGTGCATGTGGGTGTAATCACACAGGATAAACTTACGCTAATTTTGCTTTACTCTCATCCGGTTTCATACTCTCAAATTTTTGGGCTTCTTCTCTTCCCAAGAATGCCTCATGGTCATACTCGGGGTTGTGCGCATCATCAAGCTCATGCGGTTTACCGGAGAGTTCCTTTAGGTTAGTTATATAACAGTGATACCTTATTAA